ATATAAAAATAAACTACTTGTACTACTATTCCTACTTTGCACTTTTTCACTTATCGCGGGGCTTCAGGGTACGGATCCTCCGCGATAAACGAGGGACTACTGTACCACCTTTTAGAGTTTGTGACTTTATTGGCAGGGTTCATCTTAAAACAGTTGATTTTGAAAAACTATATTCCTATTTTGAGTATGAAAACAAAAAAAGCTGCTTTATCACTAATGAGTAACTGACAAGTTGCACACAGTGTGTGCAAACAAGGATCAATTTTCTGCACAAATGCATTATTAAATGTATTAACATTATTAATGTTCTGTCTTGTTATATCTTGAAATAGAAAAGAAGAGTCTGAAAACAAATGACTTTTCACTTAATTTTCTTTAATCGTATTCACTGAGGAGTTGAAAACACTAGAGTGAATACTCTACTGCAATAAAACACTTCCAACACACAATAAATAAATACTCACCTTAATGTTTCGTCCCCCCAACATGACGGAGTTCATCTGTTCCAGAGCCAGCTGGGCAGCTTCTGGCACATCATACTCCACAAAGGCAAAGCCCTGCATTCATACAACACTCAAAAATAACAAAACACCCACAACAAATATAAAAAACAACATCTCTAAGCCACATTTTAAATGACACTAACCTTGTGTTTCATTGTAACCGAGTCCCATGACATGTCAATGCTCTTAATTGGGCCGAAGGGGGCAAAGGCCTGTCTGATGGTGTCCTCACCCAGCTCATAGTAGATGGAGCCCACATACACCCGACACATGATCGCCAGCGCACGTTGCCGCTGAGCTGCCACCTGGGGGAAAACGAGACATGTTAAGAATTGAAAAGTAAAATAAAAAGGAAGCTAATCACTCACACACAGACATGTAAAAATATGCATTTTCAATTGGGCTTGCTTCCAAAAAAATGTTAAAAGCCAATTCCAGGTTTGGGAAGTCTGGACAGGTGAATGGGGCAGTAATGATACTTTAATAACAGGAATATTGTGTGTTAACGTGTGTTTTATAACACTGATGTGATTAATCAATATGCCCTACATTCTGTTACTACTGAACAGAAATTTTGAGTAAAACACACTGAAGTGATTGGCATGCACAGCCCTCACAAATATTTGGCTTCAGTAACTGACCTGTATTCCAGGGATGAAAGAAAGGAAACAAAAGTAACCGTGGCGTTCAAACGAAATCCAAACAAAGTCTTGATGAAAGCATTCAAACTTCTTTCTTAAGTCTACGTTGAGGGACGATTTAATCATCAAAATTTGATGTTATAGCGATGCCTTCAGACTTAACTCAATGGATTACCCTTTATAAGTTAGTTTCCTACAGCTTGACGAGATGACTTGTTCATTCACCGGATAAAAAAAAAAAAAAAAAAGTCGACTCTGAGATGGCAAAAAAGATCCCTGTCACAGAAATTCTCTCTTTTTTTTTTGGTTCATAAAGGGATTGCTGTCCCTCTTTTTGTCCCATGCCAAAAGCTGTTTTATTGCAAGGAAATGCATATTTTCTAAAGAGACGTGCCTTTTCTCCCTTTTATAGTTTTAGTCTTCTTGTGTAATTAAAAATCCCCCCATAAAAAAATGAAATGCCTCTTTGGCTAAGATTTTTATCTCAAACTCTACATACACGGATGTAAAGCCACGTTTCCTTGTAAAACATGCACTCTTCAGTTAAATAAAAAGGCAGGGATTGTTGCCGACGCAACAAGTAAAAGAAGGGTAACAGTCCTTTTCCCATTGGAAATGCGCACAAGAAAATAATTTAATGATCTATTGACCGATTGTAAAGGTGAGAGAGGATCTCCAAAGCCCATTGTCACTGCTGCCATCTGAAAGACAGTAAAGATGGAAAAAGTGCTGAAAAGTAGGTTAAATACCCCTTAGCTTTGCTTTTTCAAGAAAGGTCATTGCTTTGCAAGATAGACAAAAGCGGTTAGGCTAGCACAATATTCAAACCCTCTCTCAATACAGCAAACATTGTGAGGTTTTACCTCCCATCACTAGTTTACAAATCAACAAACAACAATAAAGAAAACCACGCCCCCTTTAAAAATGCAAAGCATTTAACATGAGAACCAAAGCCTTCGAGGTGATCATCTCCATCTGAAAAAAAACAGAGGCACATGGTCTACACGGGTTCCTGTTCACAGCATGCAGAAGAGGGAGCAAGACTTCCACGAGATCTAATCCAATACCGACTTGTGATATTAGAGATGTTAAGTTACTAACGCATGGACAGGTAAAAATAATAAAATAAATATGTCTAGAATCACGGCTCACAGGTGACATACCACATTTTAAAGTTTATTTTGCAGAGCACTAAATGTTTCCCACATCTCACCTGCAGGTTGGTGAGCTGCTGCTGCTGATGGGCGATGGTCTGCTTCACCAACACACTCTTAATGCTTTGTTCCATGGCATACTTCTTTGCCTAAGAAAATAGTATTTTATTTAGATACCTTGTTCTGCAACACAAGTTTGAGCTCTGTGTCTTGCATGCAGCAAATCACTGCAATACAAGTATAGCTAACTCACTTAAGTGAAAACCAGTTTTATTTATCGTCTAGCCATTATGCTGTGTTAATCAACATAAATATTAAATCTGTGTCATGTGTAATGATTTCTTCCTAACATCAATTCAAAGCACTGTTTACTGTACTGTAGCACTGTAGTCAGACATAAACAGGAAGTAGATTATTCATAGTTTAATTTCAACAAGAACACTAAGCAAACACATCAGTCCAAACATGAGAGCGTCCTGCAAATAGATAATCATAAAACATCCGTCAATAATGTGCAAATCATCTTCTCTCGGCTGCATCCGTTCTCAGGGGTCACCACAGCGAACTAACTCATGCAAATACTTTGCAAATGTTTTTACACCGGATGCCCATTCTGATGCAACCACAGACCACTGAGCTACCACAGCCCTCTGTGTGGAGCAGAGAGCTGCCATCTAGGGTGCCCAGGGAAGCACATGGTGGGAGTTAAGGGCCTTGCTCAACGGCCCAGAGTGGGGCAAATGAGGGTGGAGGCAAGTGTGGGTGCTTCACTTTTCCGACCCATATTTGGACATTGCCAGTCTGGGGAGTCGAACCAGCGCCCTTCCGATCACAGGCCCACCTTCTCGAACTTCTGCGCCACCACTCTCCCAACTAATGTGCAACTAGATTCAACAAAATTAATATGAACAAAGTGCGTCTTTTTGCACATCTTTGCACAGCTCTGCACATTTGACCAGATGACGGATGAGACTCCTACCCTCTGAAGTGCCTCCTGCTGCTCGGGGGTAAGAGGCGGTAGGCCAAGCTTGGAGCCTGTGCCCTGTCCATTCTCCATCGTCAGAGCTTCACCTCCCTGCAAACAACATGGCAAAATTAACACAAAAAATAGATACAAATGTCTGCATATGCCCTGAACAACCATAACTAATATTAGCTGTGGAAAAGTTCTCGTAAAACCACAGCACACATTAAACTATCAGTACTGTATCAACCCAGGTGGGCTCGGATGAGCTCCTTACTTACGCAACACTAATCGTTGGGTCCACCAGACTGAGACAGGAAAGCCCCCAAGGGGAAGCGCACTGATGGGGAAGCTTTAACAATTCAACACTTTCTAGGGAAAATTAAAACAAAATGCCTTCAGACTAAAGTTGAAAGATACAGGCAGCTATAGAATCAAGTTACATTCAAACTTAGCTCAGATTTTGGACAGCTAACGTCACAATGGTGCGCACGAAACGAATAATGACTTTCATACAAACACGGTTTAGCACGTTCATGCTAATCCTTATTTTTTATACATTTAGAAGTTATTTTGCCGTTTAGGTTCACCCCACATTTAGATCATTATAACTTCAACGGGAAAATATTAATAACAAGCACAAAACGATTGGCATGGACTGATTTCTATTCATTAAAATTTTTTTGATGCTAGCACGTTAGCTTATGCTAGCATTCACTATGGCGCGTAAAACAAACCGTGTTTTTTCTAATCCATTTACACACTACTTGGTGAAATTATACTCCGCAAAACGCCTACTGTTACTTACGCAACAAATACTGGGCAAAAACGTAGGTTACTGTGTCTTTTTTATTCGCTAAGTGTATTTACCGCAGTCCCCGTAACCGCCATGAAGCACACCTTCAACAGAGGCCGCACGTTCGTCCAAATCTCGCGAGACTTCTCATCTTTGAAAAGAATCTCGCGAGACTTCTCATCTTTGAAAAGAAGATATCGCGATAACAGAAGTCCTCGCGGTAAATGGAGCGAGCATAGGGTTGGTAGATTTTGGCCACCTCGAGGGATCTAAACATCTATTTTGTGTTATTTCAAGCACTAGATGTATTTATTGCAAATTACATTATGGGATTGCATGGGTTAATATTTCATAATGATTTTTTTTAACTATTACGACTTGATGCTTTGTACTAACAAACATTATACACCCCCAACAATTCCCTGTCCAGATGACCTGACTGAAAATTGTTGGATTGTATACCTGGATTATTGAGCATGGACTTTGTTAAACATTATACACATTTCCTTTAGCTTATTTTTAGACCAATAAATAATTTATCAACAACTCCCTCTCTCCAATAAAATTGTTGTCAATGCAAGGGCAAAATGTGCACGATGTCAAATTAATTGATCAATTTTAAACATTATAATGAAAAAAAACTACCAATTTTTAAAAAAAGCCATTTTTGTGATTGGTTATAGATACTTTTTTGTTAACAAGTAACACGGATTTGCATTAACATGACAGTTTGACATCTAACTTAATAACAAAATACTCCAGCTGGCTGATTTTGCCCCATGTTTTGTAGTAAATATTTTTTAGAATGGTTTTGTGCCAGGTAACAATTTCAACTGTAAGAAGAGTTTTGATGCCAAATATAATAAAATTAAATATTACAAACTGTGTGTGCGTTGCATAGGTTTGCCAATAAACAGATGTTGTTGAAAATTTTAATTCTTGTAATAGCAATCAAACATCAACTCACCTGTTTAAAATGAACTGTTATTGCAATTTTTCTTTTACTTTAATAGTTCAAATTCCTCTTTATAAATTTGTATTCACCCCAGACACTTTAGACCTTTACCTTGCTGATATCTTTAATTATTCCTAAAATCTGACCTTTTTACTTGTCTGCATTACATTTTTTCTTTCATCTAAAGAACATTTGAAATTAATAATACATAAACCGTAAGCATATCCTGCACATTAAAACAGAACAGCGAGCCACAGACTCAACACTCCTTCACATCGTTTTTTTTTTTTTAAATTTAGACTTAAAATCTTTGCACAGCTCCTCAGATCCTGAGTTATATAACTATTTTTCTAGCGTACCTCAACTTTTGAAAGTGCTGATCTGCAAAACGTCTTCAGGTTGAATTTAAGACTTGTACATTTAGCACCTAAATATTCCACTTTAATGGATAAAATTAACTCAGTCACTTGCCCAATAACAAGTGTAGCTCAAATTGTTGGATCTAAATTGTTGCTTCTTACATGTGGGGTTTATTCTGAGACTGTAGAGGCCAAAAATTGCAAATGAAACTGAAGCGTCATGATTATTAATCTTTTGGTTTATTAAGGCGTTTGCTTAAATTTCCCTTATTTATTTACAATGTATTTGTCCCTTATTTAATTTCCCTTTGGAATTAATACAGTATTTTTGAACTGAAGTCAGAATGATAAGAAAACGTTTTTGAAGACAATGTGTGATTGCTGCTTTATTAAGAAGTAAAAATATAAGTATCATAGTCTGCTCTGAGAGAAGAAAGATCTAGATAGGGGTCTGCAACCTGCGGCTCTGGAGCCACATCTGGCTCTTTGGTTCCTCCACAGCGGCTCTTTCAAGCTTTGACCAAAACTAACACAAAACTGAATTTTATAGGACGTTATACCCACAACAAAAAAGTACTAGTTTTAGCTGTTTTCCTGTCATTTCTTTTATTACTATACTTAATTTTTTTTCCATAAGAAATACATAAATAAATCACAGATCTGCACAGTTCATAGCATTTTTTTATTATTGTTTAAAAAAAAACTAACCCCCACCCCCCTTTAAAAAAAAAAAAAAACAAGAATCTTTTTTTTTTAATTTGTCTTAAATTGTAAAAAAAATATCAACAAATGTTAAAAATCATTAGATATTTTTAGCTTTATACCATCACCCCTACTGGCCACAAAAGTCTCCTCCAGCAAACCTAAAGTGGCCCATGGGCCACCAGTTGATGATCAGTTTTAACAGGTTGTTGCAGCTCTGGACACGTTTAATTTAGTGAAGGTGTAAAAATTGCTCTTTAGATCATAAAGTTTGCAGACCCCTGGGAACCACGTGAAAATGTATGATTATTCAAATTAATCTCTCAGCTGTCAGTCTTTGAGTTATTTAATTATGAAGTAAAATACTCAAAACATAAGCTGGGACACTGATCTTTTTAGCTCCTTTTTATCCAGTACAGTAGTATAAAAAAAGAAATCTTTTACTGGTTTTTGTTCCATTTTTGTCAGATTTTTTAATATAATTAATTAGTTTAATTTTGTGTGCGTTTTACAAAACAGTTAAAATGACATTGTTTAAATGAATTCAGCATCTGTAACTAAGACAAACTGGTTTTGTTTTTTTTCCTACAAAATGTTCTTTTGTGTACTGTACACCAAAAATACCTTCTTCAACATCCCAGTGTTTCTTATTAGAAACCATAAAATGATCTATACCAAGTCAAATTTCTACAAACCACTCAGTCATTACCAATTCAGACGTGAATGAACATGTCACATCTTGTTTATTGTACTTTAATCACAGATGCTACAATATTTAACAAAGGTCGAACACATCCCAAAGCAAATTTTCGTTCAACAGATTCACAAAGGAGTGGGAAGTAATCTGACATAAAATAAAACTGATATGCATGACTTGTTAAGATTCGTTGTACAGCCTAAACATTCATTTTCTTGGTCAGCTCCCATCTGGAACTCAGCTGTGACGGACAAAGGCAAAATGCAAAAGTGTGAATGGTCGCAGGTTATTAAGACATGCAGTTTATTAGAACAGGAGAGCTGCAGCAGTACTGCATTGGACTGTATTAAAGTAAACCAGTTGGACACGTATGTACACCACAATCCGGCTGTCTGGGAGGATTCCTGTCTTTACAGACACCGACAGGCAGGCATGACGAAGAGTATAGTTAAGTACTGTACAGCAGCATTACTGTATTATGAAACCGCAGCCTTACAGGTCCAGAAAACAAACAGAGCTCATGCAGCCTGATAAAAACTTGTCTTTTGATATAAAGATTGGTCAAAAACGTCACGTTTCTTTTTATTTATTAGTGATTTTTTTTTCTATCAAGGCAAAATCCACCCACATTTTAAAATTTTAGGCAGGAAATCGATGTTTGTTTGTTTTGTGTGTGTGTGTGTGTCTGCAGTGTGGTCAGTTCCAAATTTCACATTAATATTTGAAATTTAAGCACAACAGATATGAAAAGTGAACCTGCTTTTACTATTCAAGATCAAACTAACACTGTTGGATGCAAAATAAAGTCAAAGCAGAAAACGTAATGCATTAAGATTTGGGTAGATTTGCCTTTTCATTATCCATAGATAATGTATCCATAGATATATGTACAATTTAAATTTATGAAAATAGTAGTGAATTTATTAGTAATATAGCAATTTCTTCCTTTTTAAATGGTAATCTAATTTATTTCTTGTTACTTCTCGTCGTGTGTTTCAGGCTGTGGTGAAATCGAACTCTGATGTTTTCCCGAGTTTCCTTTGACGTCCTGCAGAGCTTCCTACCTCAACAACTGCAACAGAGAGCAAAAACGATCCCATCTTTGTGTCCGTTATAAAAGACTTCAGCTCTCGAACAGGGAGTGAAGATCACTTGAACATTCATACAGGCTGCTTTTATGGCGTGACGCTAAAAACGTGAGCGAGGCTGAAAGCTCAGAGCAGATTTTCCAACAAAATTTGAGCCTAACGAGATTATTTTCCAAATTGTGACGGTGGGTTTGATGCTTGTTCTCCAAAGCTGCCATACCAGGCACTTTGCAAGTCTTTGGCTTTCTGAACACTTTAACACACTCTTGTGCACTACAGCCTAACAGCGGCTTCACCTCAGAGCTCGTCACTTTAGATGCAGTTAAAGTGGCATGCTGAGCTGCACATGTGCAAGCAGGGGAAGGGAGGGCTTATTTCGTTCACCAAAAAGACAACGGAAGTAGTCGAGAGAGCTGCGCAATGATTCGATTGCTTACAGTTACGAAGAGAAATAAATAACTGAGTGAGCTTTAACAGTGCACGTAGGACGGAATATGAATTTCCAGAAACTGTGATGAACTGAAGGCTTGCAGGGGAGAGATGCTTTAGCACATCACTTTGTTTACAAGTCAGTGTGAATTATTAAAAATGGGCACTTGAGTGCAAAATGAGGCATGGAACAGTAAAATGTCCTTCTGGAACGTTAGCTGCTGTCAGTAACACGGTTTTGTTATGGAAAACGTTAAGTTTCAGGATATCTTAAGGCGTGGTAGCCCTTTGAAGGTAGGGATGTTGTGGAGCTTCCACTGCTCTGTGGGGTTGCTGGATTCAGCCGTGAAGCCTCTGGAAAACAATCAGAGGTGCCATCGATTTCCTTCCCGCCGCTGGCGTTTTCCTTCCATCTAACTGGGAAAATGTTTCGACTTCCAAGTCTCAGCATCCGTTTGTCCCATTTTGTCTCCCAGCTGTCTCTTCTGCTCCTTGCGTTTACGGCTGTGTGATCCTGCCCTCTACCTTCCTCCACCTGTGTGGTCAATACCCCCGAGGCCCTTTGGTTTGGGCCAGCCGTCGCCGCCGTGTGACCCCGTCCTCACTGTGTGCTCCCAGCCGCGAGCGCTCGAACTCGGTGTCGGTTGATGGCGTCCTCCAGGAACCCAGCCACCTTCTCAATGTCCTCCTGAACAGCACAAACAGTATGGTTAAAATCTGCTTTAAAATATATATTTAACATACAGGGTTCAGATAAGGTTTTTTTTTTTTTTAGTTGTTAAGAAAAACAAAATAATAATAATAAAAAAGGTAAAAGTAACGAAATTCCATGTACCTCATTTATGAAGGCGTAGTGAACAAGTTCACTGGCGAGGTCTTTCGGGGAATCCGCTGAAAGTTACACATAAAATGTGCCTGTTAGAAAAATCAGCAAATAACACACCCCAAAACCAAACCACAGGCTATAAAAAGCTCCTATAGTTGCAGTTTTTTTGTCATATTAGCATTGTTATCAGTTACAAAAGTACACATTTTATCAACTAAACTATATATTTGTGTGCAACTGGAAAAATGTCTCATTGAGACTAAATTTTGCTGTTTTGGACCTTTTATTGTGGAAGACCGTGCATTTTAATTTCAACCTGCAGAACTTACTTGGAAAGATGTCACAGCTAAGCTGCCTATGAAGCTTATCATCCATCTTCAGAAACAAAGAGAGCTGGGGAGAAACCAGAAGATAAACTTTTAAATGAGGCAGTTTAACTTTTAGCCTCATGAATAAACTTCAGAAGTCGACGCAGCATTTAACTCAATATACTTTTACAACCAAAAAGCCCAGACTCAAGTGTTTAAGCTAAAATGGACAAAGTACCTGCAGTACTATGTGACTCACATGAGTTTTGGTCCCTTCTTCGTTTGACTCCAAGTTGCAGTGCATCTGAACAACCTTCAAACACCAACACAAGTCGTTAAAAAGTGCTGAAAACGTTCAGTTTTAATGATGAAATATGGGTGATAATAAACGGTATGTACAGTAGTCCCTCGTTACTTCACAGTTCGACTTTCGCCGTTTGTACAGTCCTTAATATTGTACAAAAAATGTACACAATTGTCAACTTTAATATTACTCGTGATTGGGACAGTACTGGATACAGTACTGTACAGTAAAAAGATAAGGAAAAAATAAAATACTTCAGACAGGCGCCGCCATTTTGTAGTTTTCTCTCAGTAAGCCTACGCCGTATTCCAGCTCACAACAACCACATTTCCCAGAAGGCAACAGTGCCCCGCCCAGAAGCCTCGTTTCCTTCTGCTGAAAAACTAGAGGGAAAGTTTTGATCTGATGGGTGCCCAGTGGATGCAGAGAAGCCACGCTGAACCCACCAAACCGGACCAGAACCGGAACCAGACCTCCAGATTCATCGGCGAATCTTGAGAGCTGATAGCCGGTCCACAAAGACTTCTAACCGAGGATGCACGCCGAAGATCCGCAACTGTTTCCGTAGCCCATCAGGACCTTTTTCATCCAGACTTCGACTCAACTGACCACCTACAGTCCCACGCCGGCCCCCCCCCCCAATGCGTTACAGCACTCAAGAGCTGCACAGAACCGGACCTCCAGACTCAGAGGTGAACCCGAGAGCTCCTAGCCGGCCAACGAGGACCTCTAAGTGGTGATGCCCTTGTAAGTAAAATGTATTAGCTACATATAAATATGTTGTTAAAATTAGTAGGTTTAAGAGTTTAGAACATTGCAAGAGTGTGGGAAGGGTTTATAAAGCCTTAAAATATATATAAATACTAAAATAAATATAACGTCGCTACTTCACAGAATTTCACTTATTGTGGGCGGGTTCAGAACCGAACCCCTGCAATAAACGAAGGACTACTGTAATCCTTTGATAATAGACAGCTGCAGAAACAAAGACCTGCACAATTCTTTCATAATAACAGATCTGAACTGCATCAGTGGGATAATAATGCTAGCTTGAATGTGAAAATAAAGGAAGTGGCACGATTTATTCCAGACTTGCATCATTCTGCTGGAAAAGTCGACAAAGACGGGGCTACAGCAGCATGGTTTCAACATCGTTAGCTAGTGTTTTGCGAGATTTTCCTAAAACCTGAAAGTCGAACCTTTCTCGTCTCCGTCTCCTGGGGTTCGGGAGTCGGCGACTTCACAGTCTCAACCTGCTCCTGAGACAAGGACAGAGCTCGAGGGACGGGGTGAGGCCGAGACGAGGCGAAGTTCATCAGCGGGTAAATCCCGTTTCTGAGCAAAGAAAAGGACGTCACACTGAAATCACAGACAGACCGGAGACACTGAACAGATCGTGCACCGAAGCTCCACTTACTTGACATCCTCCAGGAATTTGTCAAGTTCCAAAGGAGAAACATGAGAGTATCTGGAGGACACGAACACACAAAGACGAGCATGTTAAGCATCACCTGCCATGTTATGCTCACAAATAAACTAAAAATACTATTAGATTATACTTGAGCTGAACTCCAAGTCTGTCGTCATGTTTAATCTCTGCCATGATGGCGTTGGGGTCAAATGACTTGGTTTTCTCTTCCACACAGTTTTCCGGAAGCAAATCTGTGGATAAAACACACAGTCAGCAAAAATAATCTGCAACAATCCAGGAAATGATCAAATGAGTGATTAAATGGACACCTTTTTTGTGGGGGTAAATCCTAAATAAATAAATCAAGTAACTGAACATCTAAAATGTGATTTGTTCATTACCATGAGCTTTTTAAGAGGAAATGGGTGATTTTTTTGTGTGGAAATCTTGACAGCTCTGTCAGCGTGCGGAGATGAGACACTCACACTGGTTGTTGATGAGGCAGTGGGCAGCGAGCAGTTTGAGGGAGTGGACTTCGAAGAGGACTCTGTGGAACAGGAGGTCGTGAGCTGTGGGACGGAACTTGGGGTCGTGGCGCAAACATGACTGCGTGAACTCCTGCAGAGAGCGAAGAAACAGTGAGGCCAACATCCCACAACTGCACCATACGGCCACGGCTCATAAGCATCTGTGCATTTTTTATAGAAATTTTCATATCTTACAATATATTCACAACGGCATTTTGAATTTTGTAGGATACTTTTGTCCTCACTTTGGTTGCACCACTGCAGATTTAGGACGTAAAAGTGAGACTCACTCTCATGAGGGGGTCTTCCAGAGATTGACCTGCATTGACGATGGCTTCCTTAGACACAGCACTATCTCCATTGGCCTGGATTTCCAGCACCGCCATCTAGGAGTAAAAATAAATCATTAACACGCACAAAATCACACGCAGACAGATGGAAATCTCCCGACGAGTTTCGTTTTCTCACCTCTAGAGCGCAGATGCCAAAGGAGAAGATGTCTATGGAGTAATCATCTTCACCAGCTGGAGACAAAACAGAAGACAGAGACAAAGGAGGAGGTGAAAACAGGAGAAAAAACTGTGATTTCACAAGAAACGAAAATGTAGTTACTCTCACGCTGAAGCATAAATGTATCCTCGCTCAGTTTTTATGTTTTATAAAGCAGGAAATAAGAAAACATCTGGCTCTTTCCGGATCCTAAATAAAGGTGATAACAACCACACACTATTGATTACATATTCAAGGTTCTTTATTGTCATTACCATCACATGTGGTACATGAGGTGGAACAAAATTGTGTACTCAGGGTCCCAGTTACACCCAAAAATGGCAAAAATATAAAGTATAGAAAGAAACGGTATACAAGAATGTTAGATATACACTAATACACATACATATATACATTATATATACATATACACATTATATACATATATATACATTATATACATATACACATTATATACATATATATAT